TTTGAGCCGCTCTACGCAGGACCAGGACTCTGTGACACTTCCGTTGCGCAGCGGAGGTTCCGGTTAGAGAGTAATGCAGTGAGTCGCCAGAGAAGTTCTCGCATTTCATCTTATTTATTTTGCTTTCACGTCGGTATGATGCGTTTATAAGCCACAGTTCGTGTTCCATGTAAGTTTTGTTTTGTTTCTATTAAGCGTTGTAAGAGAATAAAGCAGCCTTGTTACATTCTGGCTGTTCGGTTGTATATATTTGGCATCGCATGTTTTAATGTTTACTAACATTAAATGTTGTTTGTCTGATACACTATACAGTCTGTTGAAACTTATCTTCCTTTCTTCCTTTCGGCCCAAGAAATATTATTATATATTTAATGGAAACAGACAGTTTATGTTATATCGTAGCTTCAGTGCGTTACATGCAATTGTCTGGCCTCGTGGTAAATCTCAGAAATATAATTAGCATGTTTGGCATTTCAGAACGTCCTGTGCTTTGAAATGTCCTTTTACCGGGTAGCTGGAGCTTCGTGATGGACAGCGAGCTATTGCGGCAGTCGGTGTCTTATCACGGACACAACCTGTTCTCCCTTTTGAAATGCGAACAGCTCGAAAACCCGGGTTTTAAATTCATCGCAGGAGATGTCTCAAAGGCATTGAATCAGAGGTACGTTTTTTTAATGTTTTAACTCTTGTTTTCTAAAGTTTTCCTTTCAGAGTACATGCTTTTTTACCGTGGGGAAAATCAAGCACATAATAGGGGCTACTATTGCATTATGAAGTCAGTTCTGGTGTAAGAGTACAGTGCTGAGAAAAAGTTTGTGAACTCTATAAGTTTGTTCATATTCTCGTATATTTTAGACGTAAAATGTGCTTAGATATAAATAAAAGTCTAAAATCGGTGATACACTGATTTGTTTTGAGAGCATTTGTGTTCCTTAACAGAGTTCAGCTCTTTGCAGCGTCTTGGGCCAGATCTCCCTCTGGACACGTTCACATCTGCTCTGTTCGGCACCCTGGCAGATGTGAAAAAATGTGATTGCATACTATTTTTAAAAAACACATTAGTTTATTAACAGAATTGCAAGTCTCTACAACAGGTCACCTGGCCTGTATAAAACTGCTGGAAACCCCGTTAACTCATTCTTTCTCACGGAACTGCTTCAACTTGGTGACAATTAAGGGTTTATTCATATGAACAGATCCTAGCATAACATTGTTGTGGGGTTAAAGTCCAAAATTCAAAATCTCTTCCTCAGCTGTATTCTGTTGTATGTTCGGGATTATTGTCTTGCTGCATGACCCACTTGCATCATAGCTTCAGTTAAATGGATGGCCAGATGTTCTCCAGAATTTGCTTATACAGTGCCCCAATTCATGGTTGTGCCAAGGATGACTGACAAACCATCTGGGTCATGAGGCAACAAAGCAGCTCCAAACCATGATGCTCTCACTACCATGCTTAACTGTAAGGACAAGGATCTTCTGTTAGATGGTGGTGTTTGGTATAGAGCACACAAAATATTTCTCAGTATGGCCGTCAAGTTCAATTTTGGACTTGACTGCCCCCAGAGAACATACTTTGGTGTATCGTTTGGTGTATCGTTCAATTGCTCTTATTGGCAATCTTGAGAAGGGTTAGGGTTAAAAAGACAATGTTATTTTTAGAGTGTAGTAGGGCACCTGGCTACTCTCCCATCAAATCCATTCCTATTCAGTCTTTTCCTGATCGCTGAGGCATGAACTTTGGCACTAGCCACTTCCAGTTGACATAGGCTTTAGTTATTGTGAGAGAGGCATGTTGATCCTTAGATGTTACTCTGGGGTTCTTTGTGACCTCAGTGTTCTGATACCCAGGGGTGAAAACTGATCTTGGCCAGGGTGAATTGGGTCCTGAAGTATAGCTCGAGCCCGTTTGTGGCATTGGTCGTGATATATCCGGTCGATGGAGGGTAGCTCGGTCCCAGTGATTTTCTGTGCGGACCTCACAACCCTCTGTATGGCTTTTCTGTCTTATACTGTGGCTCCACCATACAACACTGTAAGTGAGTGTTGTCTTGCTCATGCCCCATTTCCTTAACTGTCTCAGGAAGTGAATTCAGCAGCCAGAATCCTGACCAGGTCTAGTGCAGGTGTTCACATTACTCCTATCCTGGAGTCCTTGCACGGGCTTCCGGTCAAATTCCGTGTAGACTTGGGAATCCACACCTATAAGGGTCTGCATGGCTTGGCACTTCAGTACCTGTCTGAACTATTATCGCCCTACTCCCCACCTCACAACCTTTGCTCTTTTAATTCTGCTCTCCTTACTGTCCCCCTGGCCTGTCTACATTGTATGGGTGACAGGGCCTTCACCTGTTATGCCCCCAAGCTCTGGAACTCTCTCCCCAAGGATATCAGAGAGTCACCTTCTCTAAACTCCTTCAAATCCAGACTCAAAACCCTCTTCTTCAGAAAAGCCTTTACTTAACTGGTTCCATTCTTCACCCCTCTGCTTTTCTTAGTACCACCATCCACGGTCTCCTCTATATATTGTGATTATTTTGTATTGTGTATTCTTATTTATTATTGTTGTCATCCTTTAAAGAGCTTTGAGAAGCCACCTTTAAAGGCGCTATATAAAATAAAGTTTATTCTTATATTATTATGAGGTGCTTGTGGGCTTTAGTGAGGATGGCACCAGTGTTCTCTGACCAGCGCAGCCTCTCGGTGATCTGGAGGCTGAGGAACCTGAATGTGCTGACAGTTTCGACTGGAGCCCCGTGAATGATGATGGGTGTTTGACATCCTCTGTGCCTTCTCAAGTCCACTATAACCTCTTTTGTTTTGCCGACGTTAAGTGTGAGGTTGTTGTTGTGGCACCACTCCACCAGCTCTGCTACCTCGCTCCTGTAGGCGATTTCATTATTGTAGATGATTAGACTGATTACTGTGGTGTCATCAGCAAACCTGAAGCACTTGCTGTTAAATCTAGCCACATAGTCATGTGTAAATAGAGAATACAGCCGTGGGCTCAGGCAGCAGCCCTGGTGGGTCCTTGTGTTGAGGATCAGAGGGGATGAGGTTTTGTTTCCAGTCCTCACCACTTGGGGTCTACCTGTCAGGAAGTCCAGGACCCAGTTGCAGATAGAGCTGCTGAGGCCCAGACCCCTGAGCTTGACCACCAGTCTGCCTGGCATAATTGTGTTGAAGGCTGAGCTGAAGTCAATAAATAACATCACCATTGTCTCAAATGTTTTACATTTGTACACTGACTGGCAGTGGATAGAACCCCAGATGTTTAGACATGATTTGTTACCTTCTCCAGACTCATGAGCATCATCATCAATAACCGCTCTTTTGTTGTTGTCCTCCACAGTCTCATTTGATGGTGGCATGATGTTTACCTGTATGGTGAAGTACAAACTTACAAGGTTTCTGACCATTGTGTAGGACAGGACTCCCTAAATTACCCAATAATTTAACCACCTGATTATAATCACTACCTTAATTGTGCTTTATTATTTATTATAACTTAAGGGATTTATTATTTTTACATGCACAGGTTCTATTAATTTTTTTCTTATCATATACCATTGCATCTCAAAACTAAAATTGAACTTGTAGCCATAAAACCTTTTAGTAAAGACCCTTGTTTAATTAAAACTGGTACCATGCTATGAAGTTATGTTCACAGTAACTGTATTGGGGGTTCACAGTCTTTCTCAGCACTGTCATTCCTACTGTACTTTTGAAATAGAAATCAGAATTCAAAAGCATTTACTATATGCAAAGGCAGCATCTCCCACAAATGAGAGGACGCATTGAACTGCCGTGCTTTTAGACAACAGTATATTTTTTCCTGCCAGCCTGTTTGCATGTGTTTTTTCAGAAACATCTAAAAGTTTTGCATTCAGCTGTGGTGGATAGATACACCATGTCTGTTCTTTATTTTTGAGGATTTTTAAGTAAATGATATGATTCAAAAGATATTATTCATTACTAAGAGGTGTGTATTTCAGAAATGAAATTCAGAAATAGATCTAACTAATGTGTCAAGGTGACCATGGCTTCTATTACTTCCTAGAATTAATTGCACTTATAAACTGGTTTTCATACAGGAACAAACTCACTTCATCCTAACATGGAATACAACATCAACCTGGGTGCTGCACATTATTTAATTTACCTCTTAATATATTAAGTACCTGTAGCACCAATCTACGGTGAATTAGATGTCATGAATTAGTGAGAAATGTCTTCAGTTGAGTTGAGGAGAAAATTGTATGATGGCCAGATAGTGCAAACACTGATTGAAATTGAGTAAGGAAACCAAGATTGAAACCTCTGTTCTTTCAAATTACAAATTACAAAGAATTAACGTTTTTTTTTACCAGCTGATATATTTTGACTTCGTGATCAATAAAAAAACTATTGATGTTTAATGTCTATTATTTGTTGTACTTATGTATTGTGCTATCATTTCATAAGTTGTTTGTGCCTCTTAAACCAACATGTTTGTGTTCTGTAGAAAAGAGAGGGAATGTAACAATGTTGCAGTGGAACAGTTCATCGCAAGGAAAGCAGATCTTCTGTTTGCACCTTCATGGAATTCTGGTACAGCAGTAAATTATATTCAAGAGGAAACTGAAGGTAATGTTATACATACTTCTGTAGTTTTCAATTTATTAATAGAAGACATGACTTTATTGTATGATTCATAGACTATATTTGAGATACTGAAGTCAAGAAACGAGTTCTTTACTAGTATAGTTCAAACCTCAGGTTTGTTAGAAGAAGTAGATCACAAGACATTTCTCTTTTAAGTAGGTCAAGTGGGTAGCTGTGTCAGCATGTGTAGGCTGCAAAGGACCAAGTAAAAGTTTATTCCATGCTGAAAAGAGAAGAAAAGAAACACAATGTCCCTTCTCTTTTCAGCATGGAATAAACCTTTACTTGTTCTATTTCTCTTTTAAGTTGTTTTTGACATAACACCATCAAGCCATGTCTTAAAATTGCCAAATGACTCAACTCTGTGCCTCATACATTCACATCACAGTATTTTCCATCATCTTAACTGGTATTTTCTGGGTTAAGCATTTTACACCTGGGGAGTTAAAGGCTTTTGATTAGATGTGTATAAACACTTTATCTCATTTGACACTTCCCCACTACTGAATAGTGCTAAATATGGCACCCGCGCTTCTGAATGTCCAAGCCACAGATGCATCGTTTAACGATCTTCAGTCCCTATGAAATCAGACCAATATGAAATTTTCCAGTGCAAAGTTTTTTCCTGTGTATAAGATTTAAATTCTGCTGTTTGTTCCAGTCTACGACTCTTGCTTTTAAAGTGAAATCAATTTTAATACAGTTCATTCAATATAATTTATTGAGGCACCCCTCTTTAACCTGTGTATTCTTTCTATGAACTCTGTTTCTAACTGCTCTAACTCAGTGACACTAGTGTGGTCTAAAATTGGCAGTTATTCATGAATGTGCAGGTATGTACACAGAAGAGCTTGGATTGCTTCTAGAACTTTCAGATGCATTAATTTTGCTTATCTTTACAGCATTTTAAAACAATTGTTTACAAACTATTCTCTCGGTCATATTCTAAGCATTGGCTATTTTTTTTCTTCAAAAGAGAGGATAGTATTGAGTTTTCTGATCCTCGTATGAGAACATAACCCTTATTCCCAAACAGGAAAATATTTGGCCAATCTGCACTTCTGGTAGGTAGTAGCTAATTGATCCCAGATTATTGGCTAGTTGTTTCTTGAAAACTGTCAGGGTATCAGCTTCAGCAAAATGACTGGGTGATTAGTTCCAGACTCCTCCCACAGATTGGGTAATGGAGTGTGTCCTGGTTTTGGTTTTAACCATAAACTTCAGGTTGTGTGTTTATGTTTATGTTTCTTATTTTGAAGTCCACTGAATTTGTGAGTGCCTTTGATGCTTTTGAATATTTTTTATCAGACTCCCTCTTAGTTTTTGTTCAAAACAGAAAAAAGTTGAGTTCTTTTACTCTGTCAGCATAGGGCATTGGAAATGCACAAGAAGACTGACAATCCTGGAAATTTGCATTGGTGCTCTAGTTGTATACATCATACTTGTGAGCTTTCAGTTTTTTGTAGTTGGATTTTCTGCATTAAGTAAAATTTTATTTTAATCCGACAAACAGTGAGATCAAGCTTAATTGTTGATAGCACATATTTGTTTTTAGAGATCATTGAAGTGTGTTCCAATCACGGTAACCTAATGGTTCTCTTCGATTTTGCTAGCTTTCCTGGTCATTTCCAAAGAGTAGAATTCAAAACAAGTGATTCTTCCTGTCTGAGAAGTAATAGTTAAATTGTATTTTCTTATTTTCCCTGAACAATATCTCGTAAGTCCTTGCTTATACACTTTCAGATTATGCAGTGCATTATCACGTATGTGACTGTCAGCAGGAAAAAAAGATTTGACACAAACTTGAGTTTTAATTATTCCTCTAATTTGAGGTCTTTGACAGTAAAATTATTTCATGTTTATGAGTGGAATTGTTATATACGCACCTATTACTTTTCTGTATTCCTAGACCTTTATTCCATCATGCCACCTCTGGAACAGTTCATGGATATCCCATTCAGTGAAAGAAGGGACTTGTTCTACCGTGATATTGAACGTGGAGACATTGTGATTGGGCGGATCACGTCTATTCGAGAATTTGGCTTCTTTGTCACACTTATATGTTTGGGTGGAGGATTTGTGAGAGACATTGAAGACCTGGAAATAATAGTGAGTATTGTTGTTGTAATGGACCATATCAAGACAAAGAGTCATCCTTAAGGACAATCCTGGGACAACCTTAAGAAGAAGGAGTGCAGGGGCATTACTAATGTTCTGTGTCTCTGGTTTTACTGTTTATTTTCCTAATTTTATAAAGTAAAGTAAAATTTATGTTCAGTCCATAAAAAGTATATTCTATGTATTCATATCATGGTGAAAACTGTATAAATCTGTTGTTTTTTTTTTTGCTTTGACATACTAATTAAGGTTTATAGTATAGCTTTATACTTTACCCACCAATCTGAAGCTAAGCACTGTATGTTCCTATTACTAAGCATGAAAGCAATGTTATAGAAGTATCGGAAACCGTCTTACAATACAGATTTTTGTTTTCTGATATTTGTTTCTGCACCAAATATTTTTCTTGTGTAAATAAGTGAATCTGCGTCCAAACAAGCAGATATATAGGGACTATAATGAACATAGTTTTCATACAGTTTGATTGAATGACCTTGCTTAACCCAAAGTGAAAACCAATAGAAAACCTAATACAGTAGAACCTCATAGGTACGAAGATCAGAGCTGTGAACAGGTCAGCTGTATCAGCTACTCAGAAATGGGACTTACAGTCTTGCTTGAAAAGAAGGAAGTGCTTGAACATCACAGGAAACTTTGGGTACTTTTGTGTTATAAAGGCTACTTCTTTTGCAATATTGTTTTAATTTTTAGTGGGGGTAGTTTAATCCTACATTTTATTTTTCTTCTCGTGGATACATGAGACGGACTCCACCTGAGAAGTAAAGACTGTCTTCACTTGAAAATAGAGTAGTAAAGGAGAAAGGGCCAAAAGCTTAACATATAGTCTGCACCCATTGTCATCAGGGGTCTGTACTAATCATGTACATTTTGTGAAGAAACTGGATCTGTGTTTGGGTCACTGTTAAAGAAGGGAAGCTAAATTCATCCTTTGTGCTGAATTTGTTTCTGCATAATAACTTTAAAAAAATACATATAATGTTACTGAGTTTTACTTTGATTTTCTGTTTACTGCATTTAATTAGAAGCATACTAAATTTAGTAGAACTGTGGAATACTCCTACATAGCAGATGTTAAGAGTGCTTTAGGAACACAAGAGTTCTTGGTTGATGTGGACATTGTTTTTAATTTTGTCCTTTTCAGGCACTCTGTCCTGTACGAGATGTGCCATGCCATGGCAACCATGATGATCCTCTGTCCTACTATCAGACTGGAGACCTAATAAGAGGTAATTATTTTGATGCCATATACAGTTTATAGCTTTTCCCATTTTTTAAAATGCTAAAATGTTGGGCCATAACATATGGCAGAGTGCACAACATCCAAAAAGCAGATGGAAAATGTTTTTCCATGTTAACTGCACAAATATTGATCTTCATGTGCAAAGTTCTATATGTGCAGTTGCCAGCAAAACAAATGCACATTTAAAATAAATAGAGAAATGAGCTCAAGTCATCGGTTCTTTAAGCATTGTTCTTTAGTAAAATACATCTAGAAAAGGAAGCCAGGAACTGGTTTCAAAAATAGCGAAAAGGCATGGGTTCACAATTTGTAATGCGGGTGCCTCAATTTAAAACTGATGGCTAACAAATTATTTTTTTAGATGTTTTAACTGTTTTATTAGGAATCTAAATGTCTAATAAAATAAAAATTTGTTTAATCTTAAAATGACAAGTGTGCTATAAATTATGAAAAACAATTTACCTGTAATTCTCTATTTTTCTAACTGCCACATACTATTTTCAACTGTGTATAGCTGTGTGGAAATGTTTTTATTTACTAATTCATTTTATTAATGCTAAGCTATACTTGTTAGACATACATTTATTACCAATATCCTGGTTTGTTTAAACAAACAGCTGGATTATAACTTCACGTTGGAAAAATATATTGATAGGGTGTGGTTTAATAATGTTTGTTAAACAGTGAACGAATTATTAGAATTGTTTCAGATAAAGGGTGGTTAATTCACTATAAATTTTTCATTTTATTTGTATAATTATTCTTATATGTATTATAGATATTCACTTGTATCTAATTGTACATGTAAAGCAAATATTCTTTATTTTATATTGTAGCTGGAGTAAAGGACATTGATCGCTATCATGGGAAGCTGACAGTGTCCTTGCATAATTCTTCTATCTCACCCCACCTTTCAAACCTGAAGCTTGGTGTTATAAGCGTTGATGACATGCCTTCCCATTACAGGTGAGACAGCACATGTACCTGTTAAAGTTACATTCCTGCAAGGAAATAAACAAAGGTTCTGTAAAATAATGTACAGTGAAATGTGCTTGTTAATCTAATTATTTTAAGGTAATCGGTATTATTGAATACCCCTAATTATATTTTTGTCTTAAGTTATGTCTTAATGCAGTTTTTCATGTTTTGTTCTTTTACCCGCTTAAGTAGCTTGAGCAACAATGAACAAAGCTATGAGAATGTTTTAGAGCACAAGCTGGGGTTCGCCAATCCATCCACTGTAGAGTTTCTTTTGGGAAAGCTGGGAATCAGTGAAGAAGAACCCCCTACATTAATGAGGGGATTACAGAGGTACATATTTTATTTTCATATCCTCCAATAAACCTTTTTGCATAATAATAGCCTGACCTTATTTACTGCTTTCTGTCTGAAAATCTGAAAAGTGGCATAAAGTATCATATTGTAGAGTGTTATTGTGGGCACTTTTTTACCATGTATCAGATGTAAAGCCTTTCTTTAGCTCAAATCATTTAGGAGTTTATTTAAAAAGTAATGGATCATGAACTAGAGAACGTAATTAGAAATTAAGGAGAAGTGCATTAAAAAATAAACATGGGGCGCTTTTCACCAGAGATTGTGGATGTCTATAACAAATTGTCCAGCCATGTTGTTGAAGTTCCTTACATGAGCGGCTGGATGAGACACTCAGGTCAGTTAGCTACTAGCAATCAAATGAGCTAGCTGAGCCAAATGATTGTGGTTTTTCATCTATGTGCCTATTAAGTTTTGATAGATTACTTCCCATTTTTGTTGTATTTACCATTGTATATTAGATTGGTTTTATTCAAATTCATACCCTTAGTCCCTAAATATGGTATAATATTTATAGGTTCACGGTACGTTTTTAAGTAATTGAACCTTGATTTCTAGTCATGCAAGAATATTTCATGTAAAAGCATGATATTCATACTAAAAACAACTGTAGGGCTGTCAAATGAATGGGAGAAGTGCAGTTTTTCAGCAACCCAGGTGTTTGAATCAAATGAAGTGTTCACTTTAATGCTGTTTTCCTGAAGTTCCTAGTATTAGACTGGATTGTGTCATGGGCAGATAGTAACTGGAGTACCTAATGTAGTGGCAGACTTTTGGGTGAGCATGGCTGGGTCCCCCTACCTGGGCTTTAGTTTGTCACAGTTTGTTGAGCATTCAGTTTAAGTCTGGTGTTCCTCAGGGCTCAATACTGGGCCCCCTACTTTTCAGCATTTACATGTTTCCATTTGGTCAGCTTTTAAGATCATATGGCCTCAACTATCAGTTCTATGCTGACGGTACTCAAATTGACTAAAGTAATGCGTTACTCACTGGGATTTCTAAATCCACATTGAGCAAACTCCATTATGTCCAAAACGTGGCAGCCAGAATCCTGACCAGGTCTAGTGTAAGTGATCACATTACTCCTATCCTGGAGTCCTTGCACTGGCTTCCTGTCAGGTTTTGTGTCGACTTTAAAATTCTCATGCTCAACTACAAGGTGCTGTATGGCTTGGCACCTGAGTACCCGTCTGAGCTGTTATCGTCCCCCTGCCCACCTCGCAACCTTCTCTCTTCTAATTCCCTCTGCTCCTACCATATCCAGTACCCCCATCTACTGTCTACTCTCCCTGTATATTTTGAATGTGCATATCTTGTGTATTTGTTTAATTGTTGTCATTCTGTAAACACTTTGAAAACCCACCTTTAAAGGTGCTATTATCACAAACTCAGATAAATGGCTCAAGTAGGTGGACCTGGTAGGTCTGATAAAGGGCTGAAGTGAAGGGGACTTGCTACAAGCTCAATCTGTTTAACAAATGCCAATGTACTTTTTAAAAATCTTTTGCTGTTTTTTATAGCAAATTTTTTTTAGGAGAAGATTATGGAACATTCATCAGAAAAAAGCAGTCAGCTTCCTGGGCACTGAAATGGTATGTATGTCATCTCTTCGTATGCAGACTGCGTTAGTTTATGTAAAAACCAGATTTTTATAAAAACAATAAATAGCATAGTTAAGCTAAAATTAGTTGGAAAAATTCCTAACAAACTAATTTATTTTCATTTATGATTCTGAAGTAGTGTACGTGTTGATGGTGCTTTGTACAGATGGATAAAGTGTTGTTCTTCCTTTCGAATATGTCACTTTCAGTGTGAAGATTGGAGTTGATCATTTTAAATCGGGACACCATGTGGAAGCAATGAATGAGTACAACAAGGCCCTCGAAATAGATCTAAACAATGTGGAAGCATTAGTAGCACGTGGTGCATTGTAAGTATTTCTGAACATAAATTCTGTATTTAGCTGTGTTTTAAACAAAATTTAATGGTGGGTGGATCTGAGAGCACACCACTGTCTGGACAACATTCCCCAGAATCCTCTGGAACTCTGTGGGAATGAGCTCCAGCTCTGTCTCTTCCCAGTGGCTCCCAATTGCTTAACAGCAATATAGTCAGGTGACAGTTTACAAAGCAGGTAGCGGAGGCTGTCTTATTTGGTCAGGTTGTGCAAGCTTACGGAGATCCACTGCAGTGCACATTCGCCAGAGGGATGGGAGAAAGGAGCAACTGAGAAATGAATTGAGTTTTGAGAACTTCAGACACGCTTAAAGTGAGACTAAGTCTGTCTACACATTTTTTTCTCAAACCTAATTGTTTATGGGTGAAGTCAGTAAGCAGCTTAGCTGCCAAGTTGTGATAGATAAGGACTCTGTGAAGAAGTTTGTTTAGTAGTTCAGGTGGAGCTTAGGTTTTATGTTTGGTGTTTGTTTGCTTGGATGTCCCTCTCTGTGAATAAAGAGCACTGTGTTTTTTTAACCTTACAGCTGTAGAGTATGTGTACTTGACCCATGTATTTGAAAGAGTCCATTACAGCTTGCCCAGTGGACAGGCCCATGACAATCTACAGCATTCTCATAGAGTGGATATAATTATTTATGCAGCAGAGATGCTAGGAATGAGCACCAACACAAAATAAGCTCTGGACATCAGTAATGTAGCCTGCTGTTTGAATTTGTACCCCTGGATGTTTAATATGTTAAGGTGAATTGGTATTCAACAAACTTTGAAAATATACCACTGATAAATATAATGTTTTTATATATATATATTAAACTAGTAAAAGCAAAATACACCAGGTTTTTTATTGGTATATATCTTGTTTCGTATTCCAGGTATGCAACAAAGGGTAGTCTGACTAAAGCCATTGATGACTTTGAGCTGGCTTTGGAGAGTTGCCCAACACACAGGAATGCTAAGAAATACCTCTGCCAAACATTAGTAGAAAGAGGTGGCCAGTAAGTTTTTAATTTTGCTTGTATGAAATGTTACATATATGCTTTTTTAAAACCGTCTCAATATCATTTCATACCACAGATTTTTAAGTAGTAAGCAAAAAAATTACTGCACTTCTAAGAAGTACATTAACCTAAAATATTTGTTAATAATTTGGAAAATACAGAATGGTTCAGTTTTATGAATGGTGTATGATGCATCCACCTATATATATTTATAAAATAATTTATCTAATTTCTGTTCCTCTGGGAGGCATGTAATTCAGTTTTTTTTTATTTTGTTCGTCAGGTTAGAAGCAGAAGAGAAGCTTGTGACTGCAGAGGGCTTGTACAGAAAGGCACTGACTTTAGATGAGAGTTTCCAAGAGGCAGATGAAGCTTTGAAAAGAATACAGCTACACATCCAGGTGAGATTACCCAATCATCAAAATGCAGTTTTTGTTAGCTAACATGTATAGTGAAATAACATTGTGGTCTTACAATATAAACCAGAGTTTTTTTCCTTATTGTGAACATATAATTATGGAATTACAGGTGACAGGATTACAGTTCGTTTGTAGTAATTTGTCCAGTTTGTTCTGTTTCTTTTTAGTAGTTGTAATCCACTGCGTCTCATTCCTCACATAAGATTTAACTATTCAATATGGTCTCTCTAAAAATGTAGTAGGTCTGGGTGGTAGCATCCTGAAACTTTAAGCACATATTAGTTTCTGCCTATTCTAAAAGAAAGGAGTCTATTTGTTGTAATACTGATGAAGTGTTGTTTTGTGTACATGTCTTGGTGATCTGGGACATTGCTCCTTGGCTGTACTGGGATGCTGCAATATCTCACTCACTCCCCTGGTGAAAACAATTGGAACTCTGGATGGAAAATGGTTTGTATTTGGAATATGAACTTCATCTGGTAATGCAAATATTTATTTTCCAAACAAATATTGGAACAAATGATTTTTTGGTTTTTAAATTAAAACAAATTGTTTTTTCAAATTGTAAAACATTTTGCTTGGACTTCCATATCATTTTAAAAAATGTTTGCTATTTTTGACCACCTTTGATTGTAAAAACATTTCATTCTTTTATAACTTGCCCACCTGACATAAATCTCCCTTATTTTTTTCAAATGTTTTAATAAATGAATTCTCCTTAAAAATACTTTTTTGTTTAAATGTCATAAAATATGCCCCTCAACGATACACCTTTTAAATGCTATTGATGTCTTCCATGTACATCTAATATGTGCACATCTTACGTCACTCATTTGCTGTCTTACTCGGTTATTAACTGCATTAAAGAAAACTCTGAAACTGAAAGAAGAAGAAGAAGCGTCAAAAGAAAAGGAAAAATCTAAAAGTGTGGAGACAAGTGCAGAAAAATTACGTAAGATATTAAAAGAAGAGAAAAGGTAAATGTTTGATTTTACTGTAAATCTGTGATGTATTCATGGAATGCCCATGACCAATTTTTCTTTAGCCACTGAGACTGAAGAGTTCTTATATTATTTTGCTTGGATGTTGGGACTATTAATACTCAATTCAGTGAATCTTAAGCAGAGCAATGATGATTTCTTCTTTCACAGAATGAAAAGAAAGAAGAGGAGAGCTTCTTCCTCCTCAACCAGTAGTTCTTCAGATTCTTCATCTTCTGGCCGCAGAAAAGCCAAGAAAAAGAAACAGAAACGTTACCGCCACAAGAAACATTCTCACAGGATATCTTCACATGAAGACAAAAGTTTTGATGGCAAAGAAGAGTGGTGCCCTCCTCCAGTGAACACATCTGCATCTTTCTTGAATCAAAACTATGAGGTGACTAAATTGCTGAAGGAGCAAGACAGACCAGTTGATTGTAAGTCTCAAGCTAAAGATAGATGGTACCATCGCTCCATGTCTTTGTCTTCTGTTGAGATCTTGGATGACGGTGGAGGTAGGTCTGAAGAAGAATCTTTTCATTCAGCTCCACTCCAATCAGAGAGTAGCAAAGGAAAAGATTGCTCTGGTGAAAATAAATATTACCTTCCTTCCAAATGTAACTTAAAGTCTAGTGACAGAAAATCAAGTGGGAGGGAGAGAGAGGTGGTAAAATTTCCTCAGAGGATGGATGACGGAAATATTATTCAACAAGACTTCAATACTGGCTCAGAGAAAAAAAGACACAGAAAGTATTCTTCCTCCTCAGCAGGTTCTGAGTATTCTCGTAAATCTGATAGATATATTAAAACAAAAGACTGTTCTTCCCAGGGATATAGTTACAGTAGATCAGAGAGTAGCAGATATGATTCTGTAGAAACTGGAAATAGAAAGAGTGGTCTTAAGATAGAGGAGGAGATGCAAGGGCCAAGGTCTGAGAGAGATGAAAGCCAGTCTTCAACGGGCAGATCTGAAAATGGTAAGGAGTCTGCTGAAGGCAATGTGAAAAAGAATCTACCATCGAATTTGCTTGATATATTTAGCCAGATTGCTCAATTTGAAAAGGAGAAGAGTATTAAACAGAAAAAATAGATTCTCTTGTTTTACGTCCTGTGTGCAGTCTTAAAGAATGGTAATTTACATTTGAAAAAGTTCATGAATAAAATGTAAATGACTTAAAACCATTTACATATCAACCTGCAATCACAGACTGAAACTCCTGAAGTCCATATGTAAAGCAAATTGTAATGCCTTCAACTCTGTTTTTGAAGAGTTCCTTTTTGAACTTAATGTGCTTTTGTTATGTTTATTTCTGATTATCAGTTTCATTAATCTGAAAATGAAGATACATTTTTTCAGTTTATTCTGACAGACAGCACATTAAAATGGAGCCAAATGCTTTTCAGTGAAATGAGTGATATTATAGACTAGAAATAAAGGTCTTGCTGAAAGGCTCTTAATGCAACTCCTATTAAAATATATAACTCTTACACTGTTTCTACCAAAAAATGTTGTCAAGAACTATTGCACATATTAACTGAATGTGCTTTTCTACCACAAACAGAAGGAAACATCCTGTGCTAGCCAAGGAAAAAACAAATGTGCCAAGTTGATGTGGAAATCTGTTTTATTGTTCATCTCCAAATGGGTGCTGCATTACAAATTCCAAAAACTTTTTTTTTTAATCAGACAAATGCACATCTCTGTAATAAATATAAATCAAATACCCATTGAACATGTTTCTTTTTTTCATTTGTACTAAATACACTTGTTTTTCCAAGTATAACTAGAACTAGATTTGTATTTCTTATTTTAAATGAAAGAGTGCTACTTTAAACTCTTCTGGCTGCGAATGCTGCTGCTGCTGCTAGCAGCACTGCTTGGGCGAGACTGCCTTGGAGATGTAGCTTGGATAGAAGGTGATGTCACAGAGAGCCCCAGTCCCAGGTCCACTGTCTTCACAGGTGATGACTGCGCAGCAGCACTGTTGTGACCACTTCTGGAAGAACTTACCCTAAACACACACCAGACATGATCAGCAAAACACACCTCATATGAGAAAATATAAAAGACAACAAATAGAAAACCTTGACTTCATGGAATGCATGGTAATAGTTAAAGGCGTTGATTTCATAGAATTCTATTAAGCTTAACGTAATGAGGTTATAGCATTATAATGGAAATTGTAAAAACAGGGGTATTGTATAAATATTGTATATTTTATTACACTGATATATGGCACAGCTGCCTTTAATTTAAAAAACGGAAAACATACATGTGATAAAGGGCATGGAAATTTAGTGTTGTGTAAATAAAAAAAATGGAATCCTAGAAGAGCATATCATTATTTATTCAAGTAGGCAGCTGCATAGAAAAGCCTTCTTCAGGTGCTGACCCCTTCAGCTGACACCCAAAGAAGGCTCCACAAACGAAACGTTGTTTCTTTTCTTCTATTTTCAGCATAGAATAACCCTTTACGTGTTTGTTTTCTATCATTATTAATATCTAGTCTGTTAAGCCATTTCTTTTTAGATTAGTCATCTAGGAACAAGCATGCTAAGAAAAATGTTAGATTTCAAAAAGTGTTTTCAGTTTTCACATTTGGTTTACATAATGTGAAATTAATGATAATTTCCAAATACATTTTTTTCCCATTTGTAGAACATCTTAAATTACATTTGTTATATAGTTACCCGCTAGTTTATATCTAGACAAAATCAAATGTTTGTCTACACAATCAGCTGTCTACTGCCAACTGTCAGCATTTAATTTACTTAAGCTGAAGAGAAATTACAAAGCAGTGCCCATTTTCTTAGAGCAGCAGCCATGTCCTGAACACTGCACAGTTACTTGCCTTCTGGAGGACACAGAGCTCTGAGCAGAAGGAGGCCTAGAGCTCTGCCGACTACCAGGCATAGAAGCAGACACGGGCAGGGGCAGATTGGCCTTCAAGAGAAGGAGGGGCAAGATGAAAGACTGGTTTGAAACAACTGCACAAACTTTCAGAATGTCATCTCGCACAAATGGTACAGTATGTATGTACATTCTGACAATATTCCAACACCTAGAAGATGATTGTGGGTGACTTCAAACTAAGATTAAAAACTTACAACTTAAGCAGTTCTATGTATGAATATTTGTTGGTTGCAAATAAGGATGTATAATCTGTCATTTGCTTGTACATGCGATGTGCATGACGGATTTGTAAACTGGAATCCACTGTACTTCCATACTGAAGTCTTTAAAGCAGCAGTGTAGTGAAAATCTACCCGAAGTATACATTTGTGTATTTCTGGAAAACATCGCTTTCAAACTCTTTGATTATCTTACATGCTTCAAAAATAATTTCATGATTGGTACCTGCTGGAAGTACATCTGCAGTGCTAATGCCAAGTCCGGGTGTTCTTCCATGACATCAAGCAGCATCTTGTTGACAGACCTGTTAAAGTCCTTTAATTCACGCAGGTCTATGTCACGCTCTTCTTGTGTCTCTCCTCTGCTTTTCTTGGCAGAACGAATCTCTCTGGACAACTTTGAGCACTGTTACCACAGAGACAACTTTTAATTTGTGATGAAAATTGGAATAAGTCATGTAAGAAATTGAACAGTGAAAGATGAAAGATTGATTAAATACCAGTTTCTTTGATGTAAAGGCATGAATATGTGTGACATAGAGGCATACAAAAAACATTCTAAGTCTTAGTGTGGTCATATAATAAAAACAGCAAAATATGGGCATGAAAGCTTATTTTCAAACATGCCGGACCTCAAATGTCAAGCAGTGATGCCGTACCTATTCAGGATTTGTAACGGCTTCCACGGACTGATCACTGAGATACTCGTTGACAACCAGCTTCCCACACCAAAGCTCGTCAGCTCACCTGTTTCGTGACCCTTTCTAATTTTTCCTTCTGCGACTCCAGTTCCCTATTCAGTGTCAAGATCCTTGATTGCATATTCTCGTTTTTTTCATTCTCAGCGGCTTCTTCTTTGAGTAGGTTGTCGAGAGTGCTGTTCATACCCTACAAAAAAAATGAAATCTTGCTTCTTAAAATGAATTTGCTGACATTGAGTAATATAAAATTAGCCAGTTTACAAATGCGAAGACTTTTGTAATATTGAAAACTAATAAACAGGTGAAAAAGTATCACAAAGTAAAGCTTTTGAGATTGACAAAGTAAACACCATACTAAATCCTAGCTCCCACAACAACCCTAACATTTCAAGAGCTAAAGCCCTAACCCTGACTCTTAACATCTCCAAAACTAAACTTAACTGAAAGCATAGTCCTAACTATACCCTTGACCTTAGACAATACCATAGCTAAAACCCCAGCTCCAGTCTGTGCTACAGCTCTTATAATAGAGTTCCCTCTTAGTCGAAGGGACAGTTAAAAAATAAGACATTTGACAAAAGTAGTTAATTTTGCTTATTAGAAAATTATTTTTCATCTAGCAGTTTCTTGTGAAGGATTCTGTTCTTATTGTAAAAAGCTGTTTTTGTTTCATTCCAAGAAACTTGATTACAAGTAAAACTTTAAAGTTTGCATTAAAGACATACTTACTGTGATTCTGAAATATTTGATATGCCTACAGTAGCTATTCAAGTTACTATCGGTAATGATCTAACAGTAATGACCTTTCCACCTTTCACAACACCTTTCACAGTACATCTTATTTTTTCCAGGTCATTGAGCAAGACAAGTACAAACAATCTCACCAGCAACTTTTTTAATTGGTTCAGTGGAAATATCATTTTGAACCCATAGTTCTTTTTCTAATTCAGGTTTATTCACTGATCTCAGTAAAGCAGTCTTTACACACAGAAAATGAAGACCATCAGGTTACGCAGAAGTCAAGTGTTTATACTGTGTTGCAGAAGTATGCAGCTGGGAGTGCTAATTTTAACAAGTAGGGAAGAGACACTTTAAAACAAAATCACACATACCTGAATGTCTTCCTGCAGTTCTCTGATTTGTCTTCGCTTGTACTTGTACTTTTCCTCAACTGCTTTCCTTTGCTCTTCAAGTTTTACCTTCTCTTGATATTCTTCACCTGAAAAGAACAAGGGGTTTAAAACATCTCTCTGTCAAAATGAGTAAGAAAAAACAGTCTTTCTTTCATATAATACAGTATCTGGAATTAAGGAGTGCAATGCGGTATTTATAATACAAATTTCTAAAGACCAAATTATGCCAATATTTTATTTTTTCTCTTATCGATTCAAGTTCTATAAAGTTCAGAAATTAATACTACAGTGCAAGCATTTAGTGCTCATGCATACTTGTCTCAGTAACTTTGTTGAATGATTTTCTGTAGGTGGTATTACGGCTGTTGATGACATGAAGGGTGTTTTCCAAAGCTCTGATTTCCTTCTCTGCCTTGCGAATTTTTTCATCTAAATCATCTCCTTGCTGTTGTAGTTCCTCTTTCTCTTGTGCAGCCTGTTAGAAAAATAATTTGGAAAATTATGCAATGAAAATCATACATTCAAGACTTAATACACAAAGTGCAGATGACATCCTGTTATTTGGAACCTTTTTAATCTTGGGAATTGCTAAGGAGAGAAAGGCAAAGTTTACAAGAGACAATTTTACAATGGAATTGATAAAAGTTAAAAATAACAGTGCACCTCAGAAAAAGTACTTAACCTACCTTAATCACATAATATGCTTGAGATTTCTCCTCTTCTCCCTCAGGAGCTGCCATGGAAATCATTAAAATCTCGTACCTCTTCTTCAGCTTATCAATTTTGGAAAATCTCTCATGTAGTTCTGCACTGATTTTAAAATATTTCATTGAATAAAAAGTACAAGTACCTATGTGTTATGTTATGATTTAAAAACGTGTAACTTGACAAACTGACAAAAGTACTTTTAACTATTACATTAAGAAAACTATTCATAGAAGTTGACATAAAAGGTAACCTTGCAGATTTAACAAGATTTTTGTTAATGCCTTTTTTTAAGCTTACTTCATTTATACTGTATCCTTCATACCAAAAAACATCAACATGCATTTAGTGAGATGAAAGTAATGAAGACTGGTATTTTTAGGGTGGTGTTTTCATTAAATGTTAATCAACATCTGTGAAGTGTGTAAAAGGTGTGAAAGTTTTAACTGCTTGAACAATTATGAAATGTACCTGATTCCCTGGCGCTCTTGATCAATAAGCTTGATCTGAGTCTGCAGCATATCTCTGTGAACCTTTATCTCCTCCTCCCTTTCTTTCATAGCTGTCTGCAGCTGAAGTCTCCGCTTCTCTAAGGAGAGAACGTTATCTGCCTTATTATATAGCAAGTCCCGCAAGCGTTTAACCTCCAGTTTCAGGATGTTGTCCTCCACCATCGTGTCCTATAATTAAAAACAGTAAAAAGCAATAAGAATAGAAAATGCATCACGTTATAGCAGGATCCAGACATTCTATGCAACTAGCCAATCTTTGTGCTTATAGCCATCTAAAATCTTTGAGATTCGTATCAAAATGTTGCAGGAAAAAAAAAGAGAAAAACATAATTCTGTACTATACTGTAGTACATTGTAATTTACCTGCTTTTGTTGCCTGATCTTCTTGAGCTCCTTCTCTGAATTCTCATTAAAAAGGTTCAGTTCCTCAATTTTACTAGTAAGATCACTCTTGTCTGCACCAGTCTTTTCCATCTCTTTTTTTATATAGCGTATATCATCCTGGGAAAAAACAATCAAGAGTTAATTACTGTTAGTATGTCTTTATGTAAATGTGATAAAAATATGTCCCTCTATTTACACCTGTGTATTGAGTATGACTTAAGAGTTACTATCATAATATGAACTGAAGAAAAATAAATTTTGATGTACTTCAGGTAAAGAATAAAAACCCAATACAACAACAGTAAAGTTTTAACATAAAAAAGGAGGAAACAGATCACTGTTGCACCTACTCAGACTTAGACATGCTATACTAAACAAGACTAATCATTCAAATTTACAGTTTATAGTGAACCAGTCCACATATTGTTTTATTTATTTTTTTTATTTTCTTCCTGCAGAACACAAAGTCAACAAAAATCATTGGCTTTGCAGTCCTAAGTGTGTTTTACATTATATTACAAGCAGATGCGACATCAGTGGTGGTTATCAGACATTTTCTTATAAATTAGGTTTAGGATGTTTTCTAATATGTCTTTATATAGGGTACATGGGATCTTTAGTACCCTAATCATCAGTGCTCAAGAGAAAAGCAAGATTAAAAACTAATTCTTCCAGGCTTAATATTTTGGCTTGCATAACATGTTCAGAAGCAGCTTTTAATTTCTTGGAAGGTTCGATGAGAGAAACCTGTTTATTAAAGAAGAGTCTGATCACCTGAAGCTTTTTTAGCTGAGCCGTCAACAGGCTGGCAATCTTCTTCTTCTCCTCCAGTGAATGGGTCAGCTCTGCCACCCTGGCCTCCAGAGCTTGCTTCTCTTCAGTGTTCACCTCTCCCTTAAGCCGAGACATCTTTCTCTCCAGCAGCTGAATCTGAAAATCCTGTTGTACAACAGATTAAACATTATATATATATATGTTATGCAAAATAAAGGACATCTAAAAGACCCTCTCAGTCACTCTTAGTTTGAAAAGTGCACACATAAAAATGGTAAGCTTTTTCTTTGTTATCCACCCATTATCGGAAAGCTGCTTTTTTCTGGTAAAAATCGCAACATCAAAATCCCTCAAGGAAGCACAAGACATTGGTACATCCTGGACAGAATGCTAGTCTATTACAGGACGTGCATACACAATTTTAACTGTGTAAGTGTGGGTAAAATATTTCTGACTGTGATCATATTACTGCAGTTTTTATATCCATGTAATACTACTGTGAAATACAAGAAAGAAAATGTCCAAGTATTGTTCTCTCAGTTGTGAAAACACCATTACTTGGTCAGTTGTAAAATCAGGATTGTACTGTCATAAGCAGCTTTATAAATCCATAGATGAAAGTGTGAGATACATTTGCTAACTGCTGTCTTTGGCGATCTATAGTATATACTGTATTACAGACATATATCTGGACCTTACCTGGTTGTAAATAATCTCCTGTTGTTTCAGCGAGTCATTATCAAGTTTATTCAAACGACTCTTGAGATTTGAGAGACCAGCCTTACTCCCAGAAATCTCAGCCACTGTATTCTTCTCTTTGGTCTTCAAGTCTTGTAACTCCTGAGTCCTCTTGAAAAGCAGTTCCCGAAGGCGATGTAACTGACAGTCTATGTCCTACACGGACAAAAAAACTTTAAAAATTAAATCCAACAAAAGAAATGTGCATTTATTGCCTTTGGAAGTTGTATCACGTATTAACAAATTAACTTTGATATTTTCTGGCAAAGTTGTTTCTAAATTTTGATATTTTCTGTACCCACTTATGTTAACAGTTCATTAAAAAACAATGGGGAAAAAAACCTTAATGGTTTGTTCCTCTTCCTTCAGCATCTGCTCCATTCGTGTTGCCCTCTCTTCCACACTCACTGCTGCATCTGTCACGTACTGTAGCTTTTCTTCAAGAGCCACATTCTGCTGTCTGGATGCTTTCAGCCTGGCACATAAAGTGACAGCAATGAATTCTCAGAATACCAGCCAAAAATTATTACTCGAGTCATTCAATATTTTGTATATCTGCATTGTTACAAAAAGGTACTTTAGCTATAATACAAGAACACAGGTTCTTTCTTTATATTATCCCATTTTTTTCCACAAATCCAGGACAGGCTACAGGTTACTGCAAACAATACCTGGAACAAGAATAAGAGACTTTCTGATAACGAACTTATTAGGAAATAAAGAATACAGTTTAATAAGTCTACTTAAATTGTTACAAATGAAGCTCTCATTATGAAAAGAGCTAAGGAGTAACTCCAAACACAGTGATGAGGGACACCATACAAAGCAGAAATGCTGGAGTACCGATGACCCATTTGTATCTAAAGCCAACTGATATGAACAAGGGGTTTTTGTATTTTGTTAATGAATATATTTACCAAAACATATTATATACTATATATTTGCTTACTTGTTATTTTTGTCTTGGATTTCTTTCTTCATATTAGCCAACTGAGATCTCATAGCTTGCAGATCGGTGGCTGTCCTGTCCACAGTCCCCTTCAAGCTTTCCAGCTGACCAAATATGAAGGGGAAAGATGGGTTAAGGACTTGCTATAAAATTAAGAAACTTCAAAGAGAAAGCACTTCTAGCTCTTTCTATTTCTAAAGTTAAAATGAAGTTAAACAGAAAATGAAATACTGAAATACAAAACATTTCCAAGAGTCTTCCATGATTTCCAGAAATCTCTGTTTTTTTAAATAGATGCATAAAGTAACATTTTACAATTGAAAAAAACAATTGAACTTCAATATTCAGACTACATCATTATTGTTTCATTTGTAACCCTGCAATAAAACGGTATTTACTGGGCATCAAGTTGAGACTCGGAACATGGTACAGTAGTGTCTCTAGAATGTTGATATTGGTGATCGTGCAAGGTTGAAGAAGTTCAAGTAGGGAGCTGCATCAGCATGCATAGTCTGCAAAGGAACAGGTAAAGGTTTATTCCATGCTAAGAAAAGAAAGGTGTCACACCTGAAGAAGTCTACACAGACAAAACATTGTGTCTCTTCTTTTCAGCATGGAAATAACCTTTACCTGTTCCATCATACAAGGCTACTGTGTGCAGTTAATGTCCCCCCTGTTGCCAAGCTCTTGGTCATTATAGAAATGGATTGATCACAATTATTTGGTTTTCTACCCACCTCATCCTGTAGCTGCATGCGGTTGTTCTCCTGCTCCTGATACTCTAGCCTGAGTCTAGCAGCCAGTCGCTCGGCACTTGAAATCTTTTTCTCGTATTCCTTGTTATTTTCCACCTCACGTTCCAGAAAGTTCTTCTTCTCCTTGATGACAGCATCCCTCTCTCTGATCTCCCTTTTCACCTGGGCAAGTAACTGCAAAGACAACAACTGCAGTAACTCATTGTGCAAATGCTGAGGTTCACTAGTTCAGCCAATCCCCAATTTGTACATGCAAGGACATTCTGCATAGTGATAAAGAAAAAGACAAAAAAGAAAAAAGAAAGAACATTCAGAATAAAATCTAAGTCAATCAGGTACAGCCCCTGCCATCCACCATTTCTGCTTTGTCACTATTTAACCTCAGGGAATTTGATGTGAACCAAAGTTTGATGTCACTCTGACAAGAAATAGGTGATAGAGGCAGAAGATCAGAGGGGGAATAGGTTTTAAAGTAAATCATAACGCAGAATGTAGGAATTAACACATTTGTATGCTGTATTGGCTGAACTCGCCTGGCTAAGGAGAACAGTCAGGTAAACTTTAAAATGAGAAAACTTGAGATCCTGTTCATAAAAAAAATGCCTTCCCAAATCTATCTGCATGCTGGTAATGAGAAAAACAGAGGAACATGATTAAAAACTGTCCAGCACTCTGCAACTCACAACTGACAGTCCCACTGATGCTAAGCATGTGTAAGCTTGGTCAGTACCTGGATGGGAGATGTCCTGGGAAAAACTAAGGCAGCTGCTGGAAGAGCTGTAAGTGGGGCCAGCAGGGGGTGCTCACCCTGCGGTCCATGTTGGTCCTAATGCCCCAGTACAGTGATGGGGACACTATACTGTAAACAGGCACCATCCTTCAGATGAGACGTAAAACTGAGGTCCTGACTCTCTGTGGTCCTTAAAAATCTGAAGGTGTTTCTTGAAAAGAGTAGGGGTGTAACCCTGGCACCCTGGCCATATTTCCCATTGGCCTTTACCAATCATGGCCTCCTAAAAATCCCCATCCATGAATTGGCTTCATTACACTGCTCTCCTCCCCTGATGTGATAGCTGATGTGTGGTGAGGTGAGCGTTCTGGCGCACTATGGCTGCCATCGCATCATTCAGGTGGATGCTGCACATTGGTGGTGGTGGAGGGGAGTCCCCATTACCTGTAAAGCGCTTTGAGTGGAGTGTCCAGAAAAGCGCCATATAAGTGTAAGCAATTATTATTAATTAATTATTATTATTAAAACTAAATAACATTCAAACCCAGATGACGTTACTTCCAGGTAAAAAGTTTATTTTGATATAGCAGTAAAATCATGTTTTAAAAAACAGTAAAATCAGCTAAGTGTAAACTCTGAAAAAAATTTTGCCTTAAACTCAGCAGAACCTTCAGGAAATATGCACTTTTCCTTTCGAATACTTTCAGATGAAAAGACAACGATGTCGGTGTAGAAATGCTTTTCTGAATTATGCTCTAATGGCCACGTTAACAGAAAAGATGTTGACCTGTACTACCCACAAAGCTCTCACTGAGTCTTTAAGGTGTGAGGCTTGCTCTCATCACATCATTGAAAGCAAATCCTCACACACAAAGACAACCTAGCACCTCTTTGTACAACAGGGCATACAGTGCCTTGCGAAAGTATTCGGCCCCCTTGAACTTTTCAACCTTTTGCCACATTTCAGGCTTCAAACAAGATATAAATTTTTTTATTTTATGTGAAGAATCACCAACAAGTGGGACACAATTGTGAAGTGGAACGAAATCTATTGGATTTTTGAAACTTTTTTAACTAATAAAAAA